ATCTAGTCTACTATAGGCCCAGTCTCAGCTGAACCAAAAATGAGCTCAGGTATATGCTATAGACTACACATTACATCTATTATGGCTGTTTATTTCTTATAGTACAATACAGTATCAAAAACCCTCAAGGTCGAAATGTCAAGAAAACTTTTAATAAAGGTAGGATAATGAATTATAATGCAATAGACTATTTGGACTGTATATGCTATAGATGATCATGGGAGGATCATGACTTCACTGAATTCAATAGCCATAAAATACATGATACTGGGGCAAGAGTTTTGTATTCCTGAACATAAAGTAGAGGCAATTGAAGCAAATAATAGAGGGAAACAATGGCAATGTCTTAATGGTGTTGTTGGTGAATGGCTGAAATGGAACTTTACGGATGATGTAAAGGAGAAAAAAGTTCAACCAAATTTAGACTGGCTAGTTCAGGCTGTGAGTGTAATAGATGGTAAACTTGCAAACAAACTTAAAAGAGGTAATGATTCAAAAATATGACACAGAAGATTCAATTTAGACTCACATAGTCAGCCCCTTCCACTGCAAGAGAGGAGGCAGACTGGCTATGAGAGACTATTCAATAATGATTATCCTTATCATTGCCCATGCCTATACTCTTGCCCATGTAATAATGTTAATGGTCCATCAAGGGTCATTATAGATAGCATGAGGGCTAAAATCAAAAGGTCTTTAACAATGAGGCTGCATTAAAGAAGAGCATTAAATTTAAACAATATAGAATATTTTCCAATCTAATAACTATTCTAATCTTTTAATTTGTAGATTATGGGTTTGAAGAAAGTTGTGACATCCCTGATATAGGTGAGATTTATAATTCATTACTTTGTTTCTAGTTCTTCAGGGCATATAGAGAGGATACCCTGCCTGCATGCAATGAGATATAGCTCAATTTAATACAAATTAAATCTCATATTATATCTCTACAGGTACTGAGCAACAAGGACAAATTCCACAGCCACTGGTAGAAACAAATAGGTAAATGAAAATGAGGAAGTATTGTGATAACAAATAACCGTGTCAGCTACTACTGCTTATGCTTTCCATTGTATTTAGGCCAAGAGAAGAAGAGGATGAAGAAAATGATTATCAAGAGGATATCAATTGATTAAAACTAAAACTTTAAACATTATCTTAACTTTAGCTATAATTTTATACAGTTCTAAAAATAATGATTTTGGGAGCTTTTATTATAGTTTTTATTGGGATTCCTATTGCATTGACTGTGACCTGGATTAATGGTGGTGATGTTACACTAGATTTACGTACACCTCAAGTTGTATCCCTAGTTTTTAAAAATCCAGAAGGGCAAGGGCACAAGACTAAAGCTAGTTAGGTCAGACTGACTCTGACAAATAGTTTTTTTATAGGTCTTATCTAGATTCTAAGTATTATATATGCACATCAATGAGTGAGAGTATATGAGAGAGAAATGTGGAAAGAGAGAGTGGGAACCATTATAAAAGAGTAGAACGAAAATACTTGTAATTTAAGCACTGCAGTGCTATAGGAATTTGCAATGTAAATGTAATAAAAAATATAGATATCAAGGTAGAGCTCAGCATTATTGGTATTTATGGTACATGTACCGATCAAGGGCCACTGATTGCCACAGACTCTCTGAAGTATTAGGAATATTAGTATTAAGCTTCTAAATTGAACTGGCATTTTTATAATAGTAATTCTTAGTAACAACAACAGCCCTTACACTTCCTGTATAATAGTATCAGTTAGTGAATTAGTGTTGTTCTAGTTCTTTAGAACTAGAACTAAAAAGTCATTTAGTTCCATTATTTTTAGCTAGTTCTAGTTCCAAGAACTAAAACTATAACTAAACTAACGGTTTTCTAGCTATAGAACTATAACTAGAATTAGAACTAATAGCTAACTCTTCTTTGAACTATAACCATAACTAGAACTATTTGTAAATTGATGTTGGTATACTAGAACTAAAACTAGAACTATTATTTTTATGGAACTAATACTAGAACTACATGCTATTCACAACATAAAATGTTGCCAGCTACCTTGATTAGAGCTTATATCATTGAAAAAAGTGTCAAAATGAAGGAAATAGAACTAAACTAGAACTAGAAAGAACTACACTAGAATTATGAAAGATTGGAGCTTAAAACTAGAACTAAAACTATAACTAAGTAGAGTATTTGCTTGGAACTAGAACTAAAACTAGAACTATACAAACTGCAAATTTGGAACCAGAACTAGAACTAGGACTAAGAAAATTAAAGGCTTAGAACTAGAACTAAAACTAGAACTATTTAAAAAATAAGAACTAGAACAACACTATTGTGAATCAGCATATATTATATGATAATGATTTATTACTTTTTCTCATTCAGGTGTGATATTATTATTAAAGTGATTGTACTAATAAACATTGTACATGTACTGGGTGCATTCCACATACACTGATATTCAATGATTGATGTGTTTCAAGTCACTGCTAGTGGTGTGTTCTAGTTACTGGTGCTATATACCACACACATTATATATACACTGCTGGACTAAATATACTCATATAGATCTACAGTATTTTAATTCACTAGAAAGACTTGTTATATCATTGCCTTAAGTATTTTACCTTGTAACTAATTTACTGTTGTACATAATGTAGCCCAGTACATAATTGTGATCACTGTCAATATAATAGGTTGTATAATAATATAGGTTATATAATAATAGGTTGTATTCATTTAAAACAGTGCCTGTTGTACTACTCATTGGTTCTATTATTAATTTTTTCACTGTATTTATTATAATATATTATAATGAATGAAATAAAATTTCTGTGAAATAACCAAATTTAGTCATAATAATGACAATAATAACAGTAGTAGAGTAATACTATGTACAGTTATTACATGTGACAATGAAGAATAAACTTTAGCAATTGCTCAGTTACGGAACTTTGTGTGAAATATGTCACTCAATGAAAAATAAAATTTTAATGCAGGATTATTTCAGCCCAACAATACAAATATAAAACACAAAGAGCAGTGCCAGCCCCAAACACTTGGAGGTGAAATGGAAGCAGCTGCCATATTAGGGAAG